CTAATTTTTATATTTTTAGTGGACACAGGGTTTCACCATGTCAGCCAGGCTAGTCTCGAACTCCTGACCTCAGGTGATCCTCCCACCTTGGACCCCCAAAGTGCTGGGATTACGGGCCTGAGCCACCGCGCCCAGCCTGGTTCAGTTCTTTTTGAACACTTGGGGTGCATAGCATGCTCTGGTGGTTCTCTTGTAAAAGGATGAAGTCTGCAAATCAAACCCCCAAGGATCTGGAAACCGTGCAACAGCTGACCCAGCTCCCTCTCTTTTGTAGCAGTCCTAGAACATGTCTGTCCTATGTGTCTGGATGTTCGAGCTCTCTTTTTAGCTTGTTCATTTCCCAGTGAGGAAGCTGAGGCCGTAAGGTGGTAAGTTCTGCTTGCTGGAGGCTCCCTGTTGGAACCTCTGCGCACCCAGTCCTCCCGCAGGACTCCACAGGGGTCCCTGTGCAGCTGGGGGAGGTGCACCAGCAGAGCTTCGTCACAGTCAGTGCCGTCTGTGAGAAGCCGCTGCCTGTAGGCGTGTGTGGGGGACAGAGTAAGGTAATGCATGTGGAACTCTGAGGATGATGCCTGGTACGCTGGAGCTCTCCATCAGCTGTAGCCTAGGCCTTCACAGGCCTGCCTGGCCGGCCACACCTCATAGAGACGAACTGCCGGGTTTTTTTTTTTTTTTTTTTTGAGATGGAGGCTCGCTCTGTCACCCAGGCTGGAGCACGGTGGCACGATCTCGGCTCACTGCTAGTTCCACCTCCAGGGTTCACACCATTCTCCTGCCTCAGCCTTCTGAGTAGCTGGGACTACAGGCACCCGCCGCCATGCCCGGCTAATTTTTTTGCTTTTTTTAGTAGAGATGGGGTTTCACCGTGTTAGCTAGGATGGTCTCGATCTCTTGACCTTATGATCCGCCCGCCTCGGCCTCCCCAAGTGCTGGGATTACAGGTGTGAGCCACCGCGCCCGGCCGAATTGCCTGTTTTCTAAACGCTGGAACACTCAGGAAGTTCTCCTCCCTCTCCTCCAAGGGGCCTATGAGAACTAGAAAGCTAAAAGCTTGTCCAAACCAATGAGGTGTGAGTCTGTGGTTTTGTCTTTGCAGAATTTATAGAGCGGCAGCATGCGAAGAACAGGTATTACTACTACCACCGGCAGTACCGCCGTGTGCCGGACATCACTGAGTGCAAGGAGAATGATATCTTGTGCTTGTTTGAAGCCGAAATGCAGTGGAGGAGGGACTAGTACGTGAGCCACGCTGGGAGTGTGGAGATCTGCAGCATGTGCAGCTGGGCCACCGGTCCCTGGGATTCCACAGGGTGGCATGCCCAGATCTTAGGGCTGACATGGGAGGAGCCAGACCCCAGGGCTCTTGATTTCAATTGTTCTCGAGGGGTACAGGGAAAGGATTCCTGGTGATTAGCCTCTCTTGCTCCCTTTCTCCCCCAGCCAAGTCGACCGAGAAATTGTCAACATTATACAGGCTCGACTCAAGGCCTGTCAGCAGAGGGAAGGACACAACTACAAGCAGAACTGCAGCAAGGAAGTGGAGCAGTTCACCCAGGTGGCCAAGGCCTACCAGGACCGCTGTGCGTGACCTCCCCCTCCCATCCTTCTGAGGCCTGGGGGCCAGAACCATTGCGATTCCTCCCTCCCCTCACTTCTGCCCACTTGACTTTGCCCCCTTTGCATGCAGCAGAGGCCTGGGTTCCCAGCTTGTTTCTATTGCTTTCTCAGATCAGGACCTGGGGGCCCACTATTCTGCCAGGAAGTGCCTGGCCAAACAAAAGGAGAGGATGCTGGAAGAGAGAAAAGCTGCAAGAGAGGCCGCCGCTGCCACCTCCTGAGGCATCTGTGGGTGCGCCTGCTGTGTGGCTCTGTATGACTGTTGCTGAAATAAAGTCCTGCAACCTGCCTGTGTTTCTGGTGTGATCTATTGGCCCCACATCCGCAGATTCAAACCACCACTAACCATGCAGGACACAGGACATAGTAACAGGCTGAATTCACTTTATTTTTCTTGTATAAAAACCCTATGTTGTAGCCACAGCTGGAGCCTGGGTCCGCTGCACGGAGACTCTGGTGTGGGTCTTGACAAGGTGGTCGGTGAATTCCTGATAGGGAGACTTGGTAAACACAGTCTCCTTCCAGAGGTCAGGGGTCAGGTAGCTGTAGGTCTTAGAGATGGCATCGAAGGTGGCCTTGGCTGCACAACAAAAGAACCCCAGGAGGGTCAGTGGTGTGCTTGAGGCAAGTCCCCCAACCCAAAAAGTGTCTGTCGCACTCCTAGGAACAGAGAGGCCATGCTGGGCGGGTCTGTCGTGCATTAGGAGAGCCTTTCTCTGCCTCCCTGAAAACACGCCAAGCACACGCCGGACCCGTGTGGTTAAGCGGAGCTGAGAGACCATGGCTACGCCCCATGCGTGGACCACCTACCGAAGTTGCCCAGGGTGGCAGTGCAGCCCCGGGCTGAGGTGTAGCAGTCATCAATACCAGCCATCATGAGCAGCTTCTTGGGCACAGGCGCTGAGACGATGCCAGTGCCCCTGGGTGCAGGGATGAGGCGCACGAGCACAGAGCCGCAGCGGCCTGTCACCTGGTGAGGGAAGAAGTCAGGAGGCAAGGGCCCAAGGGAGCCCGCCCCATAGCAGGCCCATAACCTGCCACCAGCCTACCTTGCAAGGGACAGTGTGGGGCTTGCCGATCTTGTTCCCCCAGTAGCCTCTGCGCACCGGGACAATGGAGAGTTTGGCCAGGATGATGGCCCCACGGATGGCAGTGGCCACCTCCTTGGAGCACTTAACACCCAGGCCGACGTGGCCATTGTAGTCCCCGATAGCAACAAACGCCTGTGAAGAGATGTGTGTGAGGCGACTGGTGGCCCTACACCCAATCACCGCCCACCGCCCAGGGCCTGTTGCGCCCCTCAAGGAAAGAGAGGCCACAGTAAGGCCCATCCGAGGTCCTGAGGAGATCTTTTCTCTCTCTCCCCATTACGAAAGTCACACGGGTGAAGCCAAGTGCAACTACGCAGAGCCGAGAGAGTCCTGACAAGCCCAGCCCAGCCCACTCCAGGACAGCCAGGTACCTTAAACCTGGTGCGCTGGCCAGCACGGGTCTGCTTCTGCACCGGCATAATCTTCAAAACCTCGTCTTTGAGAGAAGCCCCCAAGAAAAAGTCAATGATCTCAGATTCCTGCAACCAACAAGATAATTGTGGGGAGTGCATTAAAGAAAAACTTAGTACCATTATGCTACTAAAGAACCAAAGTCATCGGCGGGGCGGTGGCTCACACCTGTAATCCCAGCACTTTGGGAAGCTGAGGTGGGCGGACCACAAGGTCAGGATTTCAAGACCAGCCTGGCCCACATGGTGAAACCCCATCTCTATTAAACGTACAAAAAATTAGGCGGGTGTGGTGGCCGGCACCTGTAAACCCAGCTATGCGGGAGGCTGACGCAGGAGAATCGCTTGAACCTGGGAGGCAGAGGTTGCAGTGAGCCGAGATCGCACCAGCCTGGGTGACAGGCCGAGACTCTGCCCCGCCAAAAAAAAAAAAAAAGTCATGAACCCCCTCACGTGGCATCCCCCATCTGTCCCCTTCGTTTACGTTTCAGCAGTTTTAATGGAAGTTTGTAAGATTAGCATGTTTCAGCATCTCAATCGTTTCTTCCTATTTGTCCTTTTCCTCGTTTGGTGAGATATGGCTTTCCACTCAGGTTTCCTTTTGGTTTGTCCAGCTTTGGCCTAGCCATGAACACCGTACCTTGCTAGGGCGAACGCTCACATGACAAACGCGCCATTGGCCTTTCCCCTCTGCACCCGCTGGACGCGGATGACAGCTGTCCCGTACACGCGGACTATGAGTTTGCTAACCCTTACGGTGTCCTCCCACAACCTGAACTTCATCGTCCTCTCGGATGGCATGAACTGAGCGCTGCTTCTGTCTCAGCTCTTTGGAAATGAATTCGCTGCGAACGTGGGAAGATGCGCTGAAATGCGTTTTGTGGCTCTCGCTTCGCTCAGGTATATCCATCCAACCTCTCTTAAGTGGAATCCCCTCCTCATCCAGCCCGCAACACAGCCTCAACCTCTCAAACGAGACGCTGGGCCCTTCAAGGCGGGTCAATGGCAGATGGTTATCCAACCCCAGCCCAAACGACTTCGGGGTCGCACTTGTTCAACGCCCCAACGACCGACGCGTACCTTAATGGGCAAAGAGAAGAGGTAGATCTCCTCCAGGGACTTGATCTTCATGTCCTTGACCAAGCGGCCCAGCTTGGTGACGGGCATCCACTAGAGGGAGAAAAGGCGCGAGTGACCAGGGCCGCTCTCCACCGCCGCCTACGGGCCCGATCCCGCGCGTAGCTGAAACCTACCTCCTTATCCTCGGCCTTGCCTCCGCGAGCTCCGCGGCCTCGGCCCCGGCCCCGTCCACGGCCGCGACCCCGGCCCCGGATGCCACTGCCGAAACCTCCGCGGAAGCCACCGCGGTTCCCCATCCCAGGGCCACCAGGGCCTCCGGGCCCCCCCGCTGCACCGGCGTCATCCGCCATTTGCTGGAGAAAACGACAAGAATCAAGCAGTCAGTGCGGTCTAGGCATCTAGCAGCCCCCTGCAAGACCCCGACGGGGCCTCCCGCCCAGGAGCGCGGACTCGGGAGCCTAGACCGGACTCGATGTCCGCGGATTCCCGCCGCCCACGCCCAAACCCGCAGCAGCAAACAGTGCCACTCACGTGTTCTCTCGGAAAAGAAGAGCGAGGCCTACTGGGAAGCAGCTTTTATATCACACCAAGCGCCGCGAGACCTCCGCGGCCCCGCCCCGGGCGGGAGCGCGCCGAGCTCCCATAAGACAACCTGTGATTGGCTCCGCGGTGCCCCGCCCTCGCCGGGCTCGGCGTGCTCCTGCGCGTCCGGCCCCAGCCGCGGCCTGGGAATCTGCGTCACCCCGAAAGCAGCTATAAACGGCCGCGCATGCTTTGCAGTGCCTTCTTCACTTAGGTAGGTCCTCCTGCGTTGACCACCGGTATCCCACTGGTGGTCTTGGAGACCGGCGTTGGTTGAAAATCACCCCCGGCTTTGGCCGTGGCCGCGGGTGAGATTCGACGCCCAGAGCCTCCGGGGGCCTCAGCTCACCGCGCGCTGCTCCATGTGCGGCGGTGAAACCCAGGCCCCGACAGGCGCCGCGTCCTCCCCCCAGGTGTGGCCGCTCGCGTGGTCTGGCCCCTGACTCCTGACCCCGGCTGCCGACCCCTAACCCTGTTTTCTCTCCGCAGGACACTGGTCCTCCCACGCCTGAGACCGACGTCGCCAGGACCGCGGGGTCGGGGGGACTCGGCTGTCTCCTGTCTTTCAAATAAAGCTGTTTGCCTAACTCACTGCGTGCGGGTGTTCTTGGGGTCCCGACCCGCCTATCAGCCTGGCAAGTGCATCTGTTCACGCAGTGGCGGGGAGAACCCTAGCGAGATGCCTCCTCGTCTTTCCTGGCCATCCCAACGCCGAGTTGGAGACAAGGATAGGATGTGGGAGGTTGGCAGGTGACATGTAAGGTCCGACGCTTCTTAAGTGGCGGAGCCAGATTGGGAACAGTCTTGTGGCCATGCGCGCCTCAGGTAAAGGCCTAAAGGGCGCCAGGTGGGGCCAGCAGAGCGCTCGCAAGGATGGGAAGTTCAGAGGCTTCCAGTGACTTCCTTGTGAGACCAGGTGAGATTCTAAGGGATTTGACCAGCTAGGCCTAGATGAACTCAGCGCCCCAGTGGTGCTAGGCTGGAGGGGATCAGACACCTGGTTTGGGAGGCTGGGCCCCTGCTCTGGGCAGCAGTTTCCCTGGGAGTTTAGTTCTCACTGCCTTGGAGCTACCCCTGAGTGTCGGACCCTAAGTGAAGACCCCTAGTGGGTCAATGCCTGAAGCCCCCATACTCTAGGAGCCCTAGGAGCTGCAGCCCTCTGGAGAGAAGAGGGCGGCAATCCCTGTGATCCCACTGAAGCCCTGGCCTCGGGGAAAGAGCTCCATGAAGCTTGGTTCATCTCAGCTCACTACAGCTTCTGCCTCCCGGTTTCAAGCAGTAATGCCTCAGCCTCCCAAGCAGCTCGGACTACAAGCACCTGCCACCACGCTCGGCTAATTTGTTTGTATTTTTAGTAGCGATGGGTTTTCACCATGGTGACCAGGCTGGTTCGAACTCCTGACCTCAAGTGATCTGCCTGCCTTGGCCTCCCAAAGTGTTAGGCTTACAGGCATGAGCCACTGCACCCAGCCCTGTGACTTAAAAGAGGTGGGGTCTCACTGAGTTGCCCAGGCTGGTTTCCTGGGCTCAAGTGATCCTCCTGCCTTAGCCTCCCAAACTGCTGGGATTACAGGTGTGAGCACTGTGCCCAGCTACCTGTGATCCTCTACAGAAGGGAACAAGAGCTGGGCTGTACAGGGTCTCTGGGCCCTGAACCAGGGTTGTGATTGGCTTGAGCTGGACAATGCTATTGTGATGTCAGCCCACACCCACTGTGAAATGCAGGCTCCTGAGCTCTGGGGGCCTGTGGAGCTGCTGTCTAGACACAGATCATGGTGAGCCTGGGGTCCTCTTACTTCCAGCCCTTAGATGTGTGCCCAACTCCAGAAACTTGCCCAGTTGTTCAGGGATCGACCCCACTGCACTTGGAAAGGGTGGGCAGTGGGTCGCAGGCCCCCATATGGTACAATGAAACCTGGAAGGCTCTGGCTAGGTCTGATTCTAGGCTAAGGCCCCCGTCTCCAACCAGGGATTAGTAGTCCTGGGGTAGGGGGCCCTAACCCCTACAGCTGCCCCCCTCAAAGTGGGTGCTGAGCCAGCCCCTCTACTTGAAGTTCTGTGGCTCACCTCCCCGCCCAAAGCTTGCTAGGCTGTTGCTGGGTATGTGGACCAGGGACTGGATCACTGTCCCAGCCAGGTCCTGACACCTGGCCTTTGCAGAGTGGCGGGTATGATCTCAACCTCTTCGCCAGCCCTCCTGACAGCAACTTTGTGTGCTCCGTCTGCCATGGGGTTCTCAAGAGGCCAGCAAGGTTGCCATGCAGCCACATCTTCTGCAAAAAGTGCATCTTCCAGTGGCTAGCCAGGTGCCACCGGGTACCCAAGGGGCTGGGAGGGGAGGAGTGAGACTGGGGGCCATTGCTGTGGCCCAGAACAGAGGGGAAAGTCAGCCAAAAGACTCAGCCACGAAATCTCCCTAAACTAAAATGTGTATACCCTCACTCAGTGGCATCTGCAGACCCCGGCCCCAGCCTCAGAGATGAGAGCGCCCCGTAATATGCCCTGATGCCTCCTCCAGCTGATGAAGGGACCACCTGGGTCACCGAGTGGAGTGAGAGCTTGACCAGGGCTCCCTTCCTACTCCCAACACTCACCCCTACTCATGCCTCCTTCCAGACAAAAGACCTGTCCGTGCTGTAGGAAAGAGGTGAAAAGGAAAAAGATAGTCCGCGTGAATAAACTCCGGAAAACCATTGGCCGCCTGGAAGTCAAGGTAGCTCAGAGTACCCACTCCCCCGACCCTCGACCCTTCTCACCCTTGTAGGGGTGGGGCAGGGCCAGGAGAGGGGGCAGGAGAATCCTATCCTCAGAGAGACAAGTGCAGCCTTGGGAGGACCAGACGTGGCTGAGTTTGAATCGTGGCTTTACTGCTTAGTTGCTGTGTGACTTTAAGCAAGTCACCTAACTTTTCCGAGCCCCGGGGTCTCAGCTGTAAAATGGAGATTATAGAGGACTTACAGAGGATTTTCAGAGGATCTAGTGCCTGGTGTGCTGGCCACTACTCTCCAGCCCCCTAGTTTCACAGATGGGTAAACTGAGGTTAAAAAGGAAAGCCTGGCATCCATACCACTCACCAGACCAACCCAACTGTGTACCTTCCAGTTCCCCAAGACTCAGGCCTCACCCCCTCCCCTGGAACTTCTAGCTTCTTCCCACTTCCAAGCATTTGCCCCAATGTTCTCTCCACCCACTCACCCAAGTCAGAAAAGTGTGGGAGGCTCCCGGTTCCCTGGTTACTGGTGAATGGAAAGCCAGGGGTGGGGGGTTCTGGGGGTGTCCCGCCTGATTTCTTCACACGTGTTCTTCTTCACCCTCAGTGCAAGAATGCCAACGCTGGCTGCATAGTGACGTGCCCCCTGGCCCATCGCAAGGGGCACCAGGACTCATGCCCCTTCGAGCTAATGGCCTGCCCCAACGAGGGCTGCACCTCGCGCGTGCCGCGTGGGGCCCTGGCAGAGCACCGGCAGCACTGCCAGCAAGGATCCCAGCAGCGCTGCCCCCTGGGCTGCGGGGCCACGCTGGACCCGGCCAAGCGCGCTCGCCACAACTGCTACCGGGAGCTGCACAATGCCTGGAGCGCGCGCCAGGAGCGCAGTCGGACCCTGCTGCTGTGCCTTCTGCGGCGCGTGCGCTGGCTGCACCGAGCCACCAGCGTCGTTCGCCGAGAGCTGGCGGAGCTCAGCAACTTCTTGGAGGAAGACACCGCTCTGCTGGAGGGCACCTCACAGGAGGAGGCCAAGGTCGCCCCAGAAGGCAACGCTGGGGCTGAGGTGGTGGGGGAGCCCAGGGCCAACGTACCTTGTAAATAGGTCAATAAAAGCGGAGCCCAGGCCTGCCTGCCTCTGTGCCTGCGGCCCTCACAGGTGTCACCGGTGTATCCCTACCGCCCTCTCCAGGCATTTGCCTGCTCTCTTTCATCTTTTCTTTTTCTTTTTTTTGTTTTTTTTTTGAGACAGAGTCTCGGTCTGTCGCCCAGGCTGGAGTGCAGTGGCGCGATCTCGGCTCACTGCAACCTCTGCCTCCCGGGTTCACGCCATTCTCCTGCCTCAGCCTCCCGAGTAGCTGGGACTACAGGTGCCCGCCACCACGCCTGGCCAATTTTTTTGTTTTTAGTAGTGACGGGGTTTCAGCGTGTTAGCCAGGATAGTCTCGATCTCCTGACCTCGTGATCCACCCATCTCGGCCTCCCAAAGTGCTGAGATTACGGGCGTGAGCCACCGCGCCCGGCCACGAATGCCTTTTTATACTGTTATCAAAGAGCCAGGCCACCAGCGACGCCACCCGCGCCGGTCTACCCTCACCGGACCGCGAAGCACCCTCAGGGCTCATGGCCCTCCCTCCAGGCCGGAAACGTCTCCGCCCCCTTCCGGTTCCCGATGCAGCAGCCACTGCCCGAAGCAAAGATGGCGCCAAGCGCGCCGCGCCGGTGAGGACGTCACAGTGGTCGCGCGCGGTGACGCCATCGCGGCGCGCCGGGAGTGTGGAGTTCTGTGAGGAGTTCGGTACCAACTTCTGTCACGCGGCGGCGGCTGCCGGGGCCCTAGCCGGTTTCAGCTGGAGCGGCGGCGGCGGCAACATGGCAGAGACCGCGGCCGGAGTCGGCCGCTTCAAGGCCAAGTGAGCCCGGAGCGCTGGGGCCGCGCGGGGAGGGAGCTCGGTTCGCAGCCGGCCTAGCGGAGGTGCGCGTGGAGCGGGCACGCATTCTGGTCCGTGGAGGCGACAGGCCATGTGTGCGCCGGCTCGCGGGGTCGCGGAGGCTGCGGTGATACCAGGCGGGAGAGCCGGCCCCGACTGCTTTCGGGGAGGACGGCGATCGGAGCCTGGCCGCCGGGAGCAGCAGCGTGGGCTCATCGAGAAGCCGGCTGTGGGTGGAGTGGGGACCAGAAGTCCCGATGAGGGGAGGAGAAGGCTGAGCCTAGGTCGGGGCTGGTCCTGGGAGGCGGCGGGAGGCGAAGAACCACCTCTGAGCAGTCGGCCTGGGGACGTTTTACCCGCGATCTCTCTTCTCCAGGGAGCAGGTAGACAGCGGGAGAGGGGCGGGTCTGCAGAAGCCCAGGAGGCCCTGAGTTCTGTGCCCCGTCACTCCCCAAGCCTTTGTCGAATAGCAGTACTGGTGCCCCTGCCCTGGCAGCGCAGCCTCGGGATTAGCGTTTCCACTGGCAGCTATGGGGCTTTGGTTGTGCCAAGCACTGGTAAAGGAAGGTCCCAGGCTGGCACCACCGCCATGGGAGGGTCAACTGGGTGCGGGGGCTCAGGGGCTGCTTTCGTTTTGGCAGTCAGGCTTCCAGAAGCGCAGTGAGCCAGACCTTGACATCTGGGAAGAGAAGCCCAGGCTGCAAGGAACGGGGGGGAGATAGGAAACCCGTCCCAGAGGCTGGGACAGGAGCAATGGGGTGCACTGTGGGCCATGAGAGGGAAGGAAAGTAGAGGCAAGGATGGCAGAAGCTCTTCTGGGCAAGGTCTGGGAGGTGTGTGGGCAGAAGGGAGGGGTTGATGCAGGGCAGTGACATCTTCAGTTATGTTCTGAAAGGTACCTGGCAGCAGGGTTAAGAGGTAGGTAGGGGAGGCCGGAAGCAGTGGCTCACGCCTAT